TAGGAAATGAAACTATTTTTCCGGATTTAAATCGCGTATATTTGTTTTTTTTTGTTTGAAAAAACAAAAACGCTATTTTAATCTGGAAAAATAGCTTCAATTCCATACTAAGACAAAGTTGAACTTTAGCGTCCGTACTAATTTTAAATAAAACTGTAAGACGTCTACGTCTTCCTCCGGATTTAGTTACAAACATTATAATGCCAAACATTGTACACGTTAAAAGAGTACAAGCAAAAGTATGACAAGAAAATAAGAAAAACAATTTTTTAAACTATGTGTGGTGGGTGCAAGTGTGAAAGTGCTGTAGTACACACACTTGGATGAGCCTTATGATATAAATCTTGGATTCAGTATAAATAAGTATAGTAGCATAAATAAGTATATATGTATGTATAATATAAACGTTACAAAGTTGAAGTTTAGTATTAGGAAATGGCGTACAGATGAGAGGATCTCCTTAACAGTGTACAACAGTTACAGTTACAGTTGTGTTCGGGCTCATATTATTCGTTTTGACGAGGATTATTTCAGTTATCCATGGTAACGAACACAGTGGAAGCGGAGCTTACTTTTGACGTCGGATTTTTATAATAAAAACTTATAATTACTCACGTGTCTGGAGTTATGCTTGTAAGATCCTCTCCAACAGTCTGTATGACTCTACGCCCCCACAGCCAAAGGCCTAGAGCGATACCAACTCCACCAAACACGAGGATCGCTAAGGGTGTCTCTGCCCGCGCGTGCGCTCCGCCCTCGGAGTATAAAAGCCATAGGGCTACTAGAGGCCCGATGGCGTTGCTGTTCGAAAAAGTTATGATTAGTTGAGGCTATCAGCGCAAAAATGGTGTAATCCACATAATTTTTTTGTGCAATAATATTTTAAATGATGTTAAGGTACATAATTGTTTTTTCATCAACATCATCATTTCAGCCAAAAGACGTCCACTACAGAGCATAGGCCTCCCTCAAAGAATGCCACAACGACCTGTCCAGCGCTGCTTGCATCCAGCGGAGTCCCACATTCTTCACCAGATCATCAGTCCACCTTGTGGATGGTATCCACACGCTGTCTATTCCGGTACGCGGTCGCAGCTCGAGAACTCTTCGACCCCGTCGGCCATCTGTTCTGCGAGGAATGTGCCCTGCCCATTGCCACTTAAGTTTTGTAATTCTTAGGACTATGCCGGTTATTCCGGTTCCCTTGCTGATATTCTCACTACTGATTGAGCCTTCTTATTAGGCCCATAGTGAGCGACCACAACTCAGTGTCGTAAGTTATCACTGGCAATACACACTGGTCGAAGACTTTTGTCTTGAGACACTGTGGTATTTTGGACAAAAAGATATGGCGTAATTTCCCGAACGCTGCCCAGCCGAGTGGGATTCGACGATTGACCTCTTTCTCGAAGTTGGACCTACCTAACTGGATAATTTGTCCCAGGTATTCATAAATCGTGAACAACTTCGAGTGTAGAGTTTCCCATCTTCATGGGAGTTGGCCGTACATGGTTATTATACATGTTCTTCATTTCGTCCATGTTCATTTTAAGACCGACTCTTTCGGATGCTATTCTGTACATGAAAAAGAAATGTAACTATCTGGCAACACTAGTAATACTGAAAAAAATTCTCAGTAACAAAACAGTGTATTAAGTATACTTTTCTCGATTCTCCCGCATAAAATAAAGTTATTATATGTAACGCTGAGTTGCAATATGAAAAGTTGATCAATTAACCTGACATCATTGCCACCATGAGCAAAGGCGCCAAAAGTAGCAGTAAGCACTTGTAAGAAGGAAAATAATCGCAGTGTGTCCGGAGGGGGTAGTGCGGGTGGTACGGGCGGTGGTGTGTGGGCCGTGCGAAGTAGTGGTACGGCGCTGGAATTAGGCGTGATGGCCGGTAGGCGAGTTGGTCCATCGCAATCGATACTCCAAGCGCTGCTGCCGTCCGGTTCCTGAAAATGCAGAAACATATAAGTACATGCACTTACACGTATTTCCAGCAGTTTTTTAATAAATAAATAACGCACATACTCACAGCCCAGCACTAGGGAAATCTGTCATGGACACACACAGACAACCACAAACTAAATGTAGGCCATACAAATATTACTCCCAACCCAAGAATCGAACCCGGGACTTCTGCGTGGCAGACCAATATGGTAACCATTCGGCCACTGAGGCAGTTATTTTGATACTTTTGAATTATGACTTGAACACATGTTCGCAAAAATTGCTATAGGTATGATGATATTCCTAATAGTAGACCACAAAAAAATTGGTCCTTTTGCTCAGTTCCGTACTAAAAGCCTACCTATGAGGTCACAAGGTCCTTGGACAGACGTCATTTCCAAAGCGATACAACAATAGTATAGACGCTCAAGAAGTGGCTAAAAAATGTATTAGAACTTTATGAAAAATCATTACTTACCTTTTCAAATCTAGTGGGTGGCGTATCAAATTCCACATTATTCGGGATAGCTCTAGTCGCAGCAAGTCGATCAAAATCCACTCTAGCTATTGTATCATACGAATCGCCTAAAAATCCATTTTTCGAATCGTAACTCTCCCCCATTCCAGCCATGTGTGTGGAATCAAGACTCTTGCAACAACTTAAAGTTTCATCGATGTACTTAAGAGTGTTTATTTGGGGATCGGCATCGACCAACTGTAGTCTTGATTTGTTAGGTGGACTTAAACTTCTGGAGAGGATACTACAGTCGTCCATGGTTGCAAGCAAGGCTCGATTCCGTGCGTTCATTTCACGTACTCCAATGGACACTTTATCGGCTTCGCTAAGGGTGACCATTTCGGAACTTTCGGCTATTACTTCGAGCACTTTGCCGTCGTCAGAGAGCATAGAGGTAGGACGCTGGGTTACATTGTTCTTATTGGAATGTGTTGGTGTGTTCGCTGGTGTCGTTTCTGTAAATAATTGCTATTGAGTAAGATTACCTAAGATTGTCTAACATAATGCTATCTGCATAATACGACAAGTATGGCAACTAAAATCATACGCAGCAGCGCGGCTTATTATGTGCGCCCATCCCGCGCTATGTACGGACTAGGGCTTTCAATCTCGCATCATTTCCGCGTCACGAGAAAAAGTCTTCAAAAACCCGGGAAAAACGAGACATTCGAGACTGTTTTATTCGCTTCCCTCATCTGACTTTAAGGTACGAAAGTATGGTGTATACAATTAATTATCGTAAAAATTGTTAGTTACGTCTTATATTGTAAGGAGTAGTCTCTTCATCTTACAATTTACACATCATCAATATTCAATCCCTTATAAGTGTCACTGTTTCACGGGCACGAGTCTACTCAAAAAATGCCCTCTGGCCCAATACTGGTAGTTTGCAGCGTCTAGACATTCAGAAGATTGTACATGCAGCGACTAGACATTCAGGATTGAATAGACGAAACTCGACATTCGGAGAATTCATCCAATCTACATTTGCCACTCCGGTACAGTTGCTAGCTCAATTTTTAAAAGAAAACGTGCGCGCTGAGGATGTAGGAGAGGCACACGACTGGATTCTAACTGCCATTTTGCAATTGCGACAAAGTCATTATGCATGTAATTACGTACTAAGAGGGCAAGCGTTTAGTCAATACAAACACAATAAAAATCCTTCAAAAAATTTAAAAAAAAAGCTAATTTCAAATCATCTTATCAATCCTCTTGATCCGCCTTGACCGCTAATCTTGCGGCTTCCTGAGCCTGAGGAAGTCATAAAAATGTTTCGCGATAGTGTGGAATTGCGTTCTCGAGTTCCCACCATATAGCGATGGGGCGAAACACCATCTAATTTGAGGCGATCGCGAATGATTGATGAGATGAAATATTTTGGATTTCCTGACGCTAAAAAAAAGTTAGTAAAATGTTATTACCGTTGGAGACTCCGAGAGTGAAATTGACTGGTGCAGACGACAGCCTCCGCTTATAGTAGGGCACGAGAATGGCACGCACCAGACCGGCTACAAGTGCTCCTAGAGCCACGGATCCCGCAAGCGCGACCAACAATGGGATCTTATCCATTGCTAATACTGAAAAGAAAGAGAGAAAGAGACAATATACAGCATAATGAAATAAATAAGTATACGTACGTGTGCACGTGAGCTCCTGTACTCAATCCCAGTGGGACCAATTTGGAATGGGCGGTCTAGGTCTGATATTTTATACTATCAGCGCAAAAGCGGTGTAACCCACATTCAATTTTTTCTACAATATTACTTTAAATGACACTAAAGCACATACTTGTTTTATTTAGGAGCAATAAAGCTTCTTGTGAAAGAGTTCGTCCAGGGAAGTACTGCCACCGTACTTACTTACTTCTGCCTACGCGTACTTAATTACTGCGTTCCGGTTTTAAAGGGTAAAGGTGCTGATGAAATTACAGGCACATAGACTTGTCAACTTATGTCTCAAGGTGACGGGCGCAGTGGCCCAGGCCCTCAAACCTTTGTGATTTAAAGCTCTGATTGATAACGGAACTGTTATGGACAGGCGTGTAGCTTACCATCAGGCGCACGACTTATTCATCCCGTCACTTGATATTGTAAAACAAAATAAAAAAATAAAAAATATTTTGATGGTTTATTCATGTTTAAAAAATATTTAGTTTTTTTCGTCATGAAAATAGCATCCAAATATAAAATAATTAACTAATTATAATGCACACTTTAATTTAATCTATTTTGTCGCTATAAAATAAGTAATTTAAAGACAAAGTAATATTGTAGAAAAAAAATGGATGTGGATTACACCACACTGCGCTTTTGCGCTGAATGGGGCACTAAATGAGTCTATCATTTATAAAACGCACTTTGACTTCTATTGAGCAAAATTGGCGCGATAAGCAAGTTTTTCGTATTTACACAACGAACTTTTTCTAAGTTTAAGCAAGAAATTATATTAAAATTTGAGTTTGTTTCTTAATTTCTTGCTTGACTGGCTTACTTAAAGTTCGTTTTTTAAATCACAGCCTAAATATTTTCGGTAGTTCAAGCGAAGTTCATCACTCTGATGGTGTTCATGAGATCTCTGTCTATTGGGAATGTGTTACTTTGAAATCAAATATAAAGTCTTAGGATATCAATTTTTCATCTATGTATAAATAAACTCACACTTAGGCCCATCGTGCACAACGCTCAGCACGTTAACAGCAACAGTGGCGCCATAAAAGAACGGCAGCGCGCGTAGTCCAGCATTGAGCGGCTCCGGCACACGCAGAATGAACCGCCGAACCAGCCAATACAGAATAGCTGACACCGCTCCACTTAGCGCTGGCGATATAAACCAGGACAGCACTGGAAATGTAAAATATTGAATACGTCAAAATATAGTTTAAAATGTGTTAGTACAGTCAGATAACAAGAAGTAACGAAAATGGACACTCTCCGCCCCTCCCTAGCTTTAGGTACCGCACCACGACACGCACATTGACGGTCACATTGACTGAACGGCAACAAGGTTCTCGGCAAGCCGTTTTAAAAAACTTATTTCGGGGAATCATTCAATTATTGTTTACTTCATTTATTTATTGCAGAGTAATATAATATATAGATTTATCATATAAATACAATGAGAAATAATATAGTAGACAAGAGTTCTCGACTTTTCAATTTGTATTGCCGATAAATATATAGTGAATATAATTATTAACTAAGAAATGGTAAAGTTGGACACAATTTCAAATACCTTGGTTGCCTTATTTAAAAGTACCTGTCCAAAATACAACATTTTTGGAGCTTTTAAGTTTAATATTTTTAAAGAAACCTTCAGGATTACTCTGGTAAGTGAATTAATGCAAAATATAATACTATATTGATATAAATACCTAATAAACATGTGTAATTATTAGAATTCTATTAATAATAATAATAACGCACACACTCAACATGGCCCCGCACTAGGGAAACCCTGTGTCGCGGGTGCCATGGACACACACATAGACAACCACAAATTACATCCAAACTCACGAGAGAAATAATTGTAGGCCATACAACTATTTCTTCCGGCCCGGGAATCGAACCTGGGACCTCTGCGTGGCAGTCCGGCATGGTAACCGTTAGGCCACGGAGGCAGTAATAGAATTATAGATAACAGATTCGCGTCAGAATTTTCGCTTTGTTGCCGCTCTGACCACGTACGAGAAAGTAATGAGTAACCCTGCCACTTCACGCACACATTTGCACGTGTGCAAATAGCGCCTTACTGTATGTAGTAGTAGTACGTAAATAACTTTCGACTGTTGTATGGAGTGTCCGGGGTGTGATACAGTTACAATGATAACCCTTATAAGTGCTAGAGAAACTCGTGAATCAAGGGGTAGTTCTCCTAGACCCTGAAGAAAAAACATTTAAGTGTAAAGACAACTAAGATATCTTGCTGGCCACGTAGAATACGAGTCGCCCGCGCACATCGATCACGTCACTACCATCTTATATATTTATATATTCCTTAGAATTCCCTAGTTTTATATTACTTTGACTCTGCTCCCAATACCCTGTAGTTGTCGTTCACTCAGTATCAACACGTTTTTTAATATTATTCACTTTATTTTTGTTTACTTAAATATTTCGATACCTCCAATGAATTGGTTAGTTTCTGTTATCGAGTTCTTAGGTTTTCGCGATTGTTACACATAGGAAATGAAACTATTTTTCCGGATTTAAATCGGATGTATTTGTTTTTTTAAACAAACCAACGTTTCGGGCCCTTTACAGGTCCCAAGGTTTGTTAAATTTAAATCCGGAAAAATAGTTTTTTTGATTTCCTTGTTTCTGTTACTTTTGTAAACAATCATATTTATTTACTAACATTATGCTCCCCGAATTTTGTGAAAAAAAAAATAAAGAAACAAAAACAAAATTCGAAAAAGAAAACAAAAAATTAATAAAAAAAAGAAACGAAAAATAAAATAAAAACAGGACAGATGCGAAAATTAAGTCGGCGTATATTGGAGGTATCGATTTATTTGATAGTTTTGATAACTACGCGAAATTAGCTCATTTAGAATATTATTTGTTATTACATAATATACCAATAGTCATTGTTTAAGTTCATTACTTCGATTGGGAGTTAAAAACAACTTTGTTTTAAGTTACCAAGTCGTGTGCCTGGTGGTAAGCAACACGACTGTCCAAAGCACTAAGATCTTGTGAGTTGTGAGTTAAATCAACTATTGTCAAAATGTCAAAGCTTCCGATCGGCCAGTTGTGAATCGCAGTTATGCACCTCGACTCGGAAGAGACGCAGTTTCCGATCGGGAGAGGCAATCAAAATCAAGCTGCAGGAGTTCTATAAAAAGTCTCCAACTCAACACTTACCAATAGCTCCAAGCGTAGACCATCTAACACCAACAGGTCCTTTCGCAGTCAAAGTAAATCCCACGGTGGCACCAACAACGGAATGTGTGCCAGACACGGGCAGTTTTAAGGCTGTAGCCACTATAAGCCACGCTGCGCTAGCTATCAGGGCAGCCAGACAGCCCGCAGCCAAAAGACGCTCACCTCCATTGGTGTAAAGGTTCACGTCGAGTATGCCCTTGCGCATCGTGTCTGATACTTTGTAACCTGGTGTATATAAGAAGATTTATTTATTTTTAAATGTAGCTACGGTGAGTAGCAGAGATCTTCAAAACATAATATTTGTTAACTGTAATAGAGTTCTTTATGAACGCAAGACTATAGACAACATGTTACTTAATGGAGCATTAAATCTAATGGACTTTTGTGCGTTAGTTGCCGCGGCTTATTGCCCTCTACCACAAAAATCTTTTTAATTCCGTTAAGATTAACACTACAAAACCAATTAAGTAAGTCGAACATGGCGTCAAGTCGTTTATAAGACAATGCGGATTAAAACACTATTCATTTATGTTTGTGTCTCTCTCTATTTTTAACCGACTTAAAAAAACGAGGAGGTTTTCAATTCGACTGTTTTTATATATGTAAGTTAAGCAATTATTACGGCTTTTGTGAACCGGTTTTGATGATTCTTTTTTGTTGGAAAGAGGGTACCTCAGTGTTGGTCCCATTTAAATTTGAATAAAATATTCCACCTCTAAGGGTGGCAGACTAGGAATCCAGTTTCGCGCGCCTTCCGGTAACCGATTTCAATAAAACTTGGCAAATTATTGTTGCCCAGGGTGCGCAAGACATACAGAAAATGAGACTTCGTGCTGAGAGGCTTCTTTGATGCACCCCAGCAGAATGTACGATAACACGATTCTCTACAGAGGTCTGTATGCGATAATAGTAGTATCTCGCGCATTATGTCGCTCACGCGCTAGTCGCGCCCTACAGTGCTAACCCTACAGAACGTTTATACAAGTTATCTACTGTTTGTTATTCTTTTAATACAGATTAAATTATTTTAACAATACCTATTCTTTCTTACGACGCCGAATTGTCCACGATTTGCGCGAGAGCGACATGAAGCGCGAGATCTCTATGCGAGAATAGCAGTATCCGCACTTTATGTCACTCTCGCACTAGTCGCGCCCTATCGTGTTAACCCTACAGAACGTTTACAAGGTTAAGCACTTTATTTACCGTTTGTTATTATTTTAATACTGATTAAATTATTTTACCAAAACCTATTCGTAGGAGTCGTAAGACTCCAAATTTTGCAAGAGCCATAACGACAGACTAAAGCATTTAGTTGCATATAGAGTATTTATTAGGCACTGAAAATATCAAATTGCAACAAATCAAAATAACACTTACCAATAAGAACTGCGCCGGCGATCTCGAAAACAGTGGCAAGCAGGCATGCCTGCGTTAAAGTTAACACCTTCGATCCAACGCTTGTCCCGAATGAATTGGCCACATCATTGGCACCAATCCCGAACGCCAATATAAATGCCACCACGAACCCACATATTACCAACCAGAATAACTCGTCGGCATACGGCTCCATTCCTTAACTCTTTACTTATATTAAAACCCCACATAGAAACACATTTTTATATTTAAAAAGAAATTTTCTAGCACCTATCCAATTATTTCAACGACAATATTTTTATTTTAACAACAACTTTTTCAAACTTCGCTAACACTTTTCAAAGCAATAATCCTTTCTTTAACAATGAAACAAATGAAAAAAATACCGCTTGTATCACTAAGTTATATTTAATAATTGCAATAAGGCTAATTTTGTTAAAATATCATAAATGATAATTAAAATACGTCAAATAATGAGTTTCAGGATTGAATTGTTGTGCGTCACAACGACTGGTGTTTAAATTGTCTTTGAAGATGTTGAGGCTTGGTTAAATTTGGGTTCATCATTTCTGAAATAGAAACAATCATATGGTTTAATTTACTTCTAAATATCGAGTTCTTAGATTTTCGCGATTATTACACATAGGAAATGAAACTATTTTTTAAATTTACTATCTCAGTCAACCGTGACCATAGGACTTATACAAGACTCGATGCGTTGGTTTGTTTGAAAAACAAATATTCCTATGCGTTTTAATTCCGAACAAAATAGTTTCATTTTTTCTTTTCCTTTTCTTTATTTCATAACTAAGTAAATTACACTCGAAATCGTCACGTTGAATAATTTGAACCCTACTACATAGGTAGGTACACATCCTTTATTTCAACTCTATTGACAACAAATAATCTCATGGCGTTAGTTGAATAAAAGGTATAAAAAAATGTACAAATGATTCTATCAAAGGTTTGTCATGTCATGTGATTTTTAAATTTTGACAAGACTAACGCAACACTGCGAGATATGACGCAAGAGCATCCGGGCAAAAACAATTCATTAAAGGGATCCATCACAATCTTCGGCACTGAGGGAACGAATAAGGAGATGGGGATTACTCAATTATTAGCCATTAAAAACTACTAATACCCAAAGTCTTCTTCATTCCTAAACTATAGTGTTAGAGAAATCGGAATTGTATATGTGGTATTTGTGTGTGTGGAAGAATTTGTACACCACTACATACGCAATTCCGAACTCTCGCTAATATCACTACACTAGGTAACATTAAAAGCGACGTGGAAAATCTCAAATACTTAAATAACAGACAGATCGTAACGGTCAAAGAAAAACGCAAAATTTTCAGTGGATCTTGTAATATAAAATCTACTCTAATACCAGAATTCTTAGTTGACCAGTTATGTACTGTATAAATGTCCACAGTAACAGAGCACCGGCTTATAGGTGACCATGGCGTTTATATGGCTAGATGCCAAATATGAAATCATTACCTAAATAAGCATACTTATAATCCAGTAAGACACAGAAGGATAACCTTTTTTCGACAGAAAAATAAACCTTTCCATGGCAGATTTTCATAGAAACTCGTAACTTTGGATCACGTTTATGTTTAACTGACTTTACGTTTTTGTCTTTCGTCAATCATTTACATTTCAATTTAATTGCGAAAATTTTTAATTATATTATTGAATTAAAAGATACGTTAAATTAGATTCTTGAGTTAAATATTTGAGGATAACCACTCAAAAAATTTGTAAAAGACCACATGGTCAGCACGTTATCGATTAAACGACGCCATGACAAAGATATTTTGCACTAATTGTGATTTAACTCACAAACCAGACATCGCAATTCGAAATTTCCTTCTTTCGATTACAATCAATTACTAAATAAATTTCGTATTATCCATTTCGTAGAAACCCTAAGTCTAATTGCGATAAAAGAGCTAGTAAATGTCCATGTCAATGAATCTAACGTCAGTACATTTTCTTTAGAAATTGTATACGGAATTAAATGACGTCTCTTATTTACACTTAATTATGAATGAAAAGATGTACCTACTTACTTTTAAAAAGCGTAGGATTTTACAGTCCTAAGCGTAACACAAGTGATGAAGGGCACAAGATTCCCTTGAGGCTCTCAGCTGAGGACTGAAGTTGACAATGAGCAGGAGCCGCCGGCTGAATAGAGCATGCGTGAAGGTCGCGCCCCACTATTTCCTTCCCCTTGCCAAATACAATAAGTATTTCGTCTCAGTCAAAATACCCCTTGCAAGTTATTCCCCTCATTGCGCCTGCCGGTTTGCTTTCCATGCGCATTCTTATTGGATTAAGAAACCTGTTTATAAACTTGCACGTTAGGTAGGGTACGCAACTACTTGCTTAAATATTTAGGTATCATACAAGTATACGATGACCTTGAGTATGTATGTTACTTTTTATATATTATAATGATAATTTTATCGGAATACTCTGCATTAGTACACAAGAAGCGCCTAGTGCAAAATTGCAAAGGGTGTGTATTGCGTGTTGGTAGATATTATTGCTTTTACCGCACTGCAGGCGCAATTATCATAGGTTGACTTCTTCTCATGTAGTTGTATGTTGCTGTATGTAATACGTGCGTAGTTTTCCAACCTTAAAATTGTTGAAAACATTTTCAATTATCTTATCTAATAAAGACAGCCAAGGCTGTCCAAATCACACAGTAATGTAATATCTATCCATGATATTATTTATTTTTAACGGTCGCCTATGCATGTATGTGCCAGATAACTACACCAGACATTGCTTAAAGTCCGTGCAGAATGTGGATAACGCAATAAAAAAAATTTAGTGGTAGTCACTGTTAAATATTTGATTGATTCTACATTCGAATATCAACGTCTCGCTCTCGCTGACACTCGTTCGTATTAGTTGGCTTGCATTTTTATTAGGGACTACTTCTCCTAAACGATTTGAGGACTTTTCTAGCCGTCAAGTGCAAGTAAGCTACGAGTACATAAAAAATCTTGTTTTGAATCACTAACTTATTGACTTCTTTTGCTTTTTTTAAATTCAGGACTAGTCTAATTTTTGAATAATTTTTCGAAAAATAATTTTGGGCACATTTCTGAAAAATTGGGAAAATATAATTCGAACTCATATTATTTTGTTCTACGTTTAGATATATACATATGTTTAAATGTTTAATACAGCGTGAATTATAAATTTATAAAATAAAATTATATAAGCATTGTGTTATAATTTTTTAAACCCTGCTTGGCTTATTTGCATAATTTCTCAGAGTTCAGTATCCTCAACTTTTGATAGGTGTCACTGTGTGGAAAAATGTAGAAATAATATTCAGAAAAACATATTTTTTCAAAATGGAAATTTTTCCATGATGCAACACTAGACCCCTATCCCAAAGAGGTGGCTCAAAAAAATTTATATCCTAGCTGCCAAAACTACTGGTAGGTAAGTTCTCAAATAGTAGATTTTTTTCGAAATATTCCGAAAATTTGAAAAAATTTGAGAAATTGGAAAAATATCATTTCGAACGCTCATATTATGTTCTACGCTTAAAAATATCTTTTGAAATTTTATTTAGCGTGTATTATAAAAGAAACTTGTACAGGGTCAAGAGCACGTTAAGCTTAACACTTTTAACTTGAATCCAACTCTATGCCACTTACGATAAGAACGGTCCAAAGTACAAAGTGTCAAGCCTTATGTGTTCTTGACTACAGATAAAAGCCACTTTTAAGCAAAACGAGTCAGAAAATGATTTCACAACAGTGAAAAACCTCCAACAACTACACCACCACCACCTCTTGTAGGCTCCATCATTTTCGTTCAGTAACTTCAACTTTCGACAGGTATCAACGTGAAATGTGAAAAAATAGAGGAAAAATATTGAAAAAATATGCGAAAAAATATTGTTTTTGCTCAAATATATATTTTTTTCGAAATGGAAATTTTTTATGACCCAGCACTAGCCAAAACCAATGCTGTCACTGTCGCTGTCAGTAGTGTCAAAATGTCGTTCGTTCAACTTCTCGGCTAACGTCATGTTAACGTCAAAGTCAAAATCGTGAAGAAAATTTTGTAATATAATATTTCATATTAAATTTTCGCTGTGTAATTCCTATATAATGTGACGTGGAATATAACAAGTTATAGTGTAAAATTATAATGTTCTTCCGTAATGTTTTCTGCGCTGCCAATTTGAATAATCCATGGTACGGTTCCATAATAACCTAAGAATGTTGTCTGTTGTTGTTTTAGACCCGAAAGTATAACGTACGTAATTATTTCTCGGACTCTATAATGTTACATTTATTAGTGCACAAATAATTCTCATTAAGGCAAATCTGCATTGGCTACTAATAAAAAACTTAGGCTTACCTATAAAACGCTTATTTGGTGGGGCCCAGCTACAGGATTTATGCAGACTGTCAAATAAAATACTTTGAATTAAAGCCTTATTCTTTTTAAATGAGGCTATTAGTGCAAAAGTGATGTAACCCCATGAAATGCATATAGAAAATAATAAGAGATTAAAAGTTAGTTCATTTTATATATCGACGCTTGAAAGGTAAAATGGGATAGGCGACACTTTTGGGTCATACTGAGTTATATATACGGTTGGAATCAGAAACATTAGCTGATTCCAACAGTATATATAACTCAATATGTCCAAAAGTGTCCTTATCCCATTTTGCCTTTCAAGCATCAATATACTAATTGTATATTGTCTCTTAGCAAACCACACAGCTGAATTCGAAAATTGGCAGTTTAACTTTTTAAAGTTACTGAAAGCAAAATGAAACGAGAATATCAATGAAAATGATATAATCATCACACATACAATTATTTGTTATCTATAAATAGAGCATCTATTATTAACAACAGCTTGAAATATCTTGTATATATATATGTATATAATAACAGATACAGTTTTTTCACTCACCTTTAAACAACAATACGACTAATATAATTTATATTTAGTATATTGAATATCATGATGATTTACTACCTTGATATTATTTTCATAATAATGCACACAATCATAGCCCTGCACTAGAGAAACCCTGTGTCGCTGGTGTCATGGACACACACATAGACTACCACAAATAACACCCAAACTCTACAGATAAATAAATATAGGCAATTAATATACTTTAATTTTTAAATTTTTTTTTAAATTATTTACAATCAGTCGCCATACTATAATTAAATTATTGGAATGATTTTTGGTGTGTGAGAGTGAGGAAGCATTGAACACGTGCTGTTGTTTTTCGCATTAATATATCGCACTGTTAATACAATAGTGTATTAACTCAAAAAGTGTATTTTCTCAGAATTAACAAAAACTAATTACTCGCTTCCCGTGAAAGATCTGTGTAAATTTATGTATAAGTTATTTCCTACCTGCCAAAAATACATATTTAAAAACAAGTGAAAAAATTGTTTCATATTTTTGAATAAGGACTATTTTGGCCAGAACTACCTCACATAAAGCGTGTCTCGTTTTGAGTTATGTAGATATGAGTTGTTTTTTACAATATTCTAACAATGGTATAATCTTGAATTTCACATATTTTGAGTTATAACACTATTGTAAAAGCAATGCGAATAAGCATACATTTTTTTACACATGACAATAGCATCCAAATATATAATAATTATGGACTTTACTATCATTAATATTGAAATAATATTTTATAAAACCAATCAAATATGGGTTACACTACTTTTGTGTTGATAGCCTCAAATAGCACCCAGCTATTTGCACCACTTTTTCCTTGATATATGATGTATTATATATATATATTCTAATGAATGATGGAAACACCAATATGTGGCTGTAATGGAACATGAATAATACTTTAATGTATTTAACAGCCGTGGTAGCCTAATGGTTTAACCTACCACCCCTCAAGCAGAGTCCGTGGCTTTGAATCGGGCTGTACACCCGAGTGTTTCGGAATTTGTGTGAAATTTACCATGAGCTTTTTGGTGGAGCAAAAACATTGTGATGAAACCTGCACATCGAAAAGGTTCACAACACTCGAAAACATGTGAAGTCCCCAACCCGCATTGGGCCAGTGTGACAGACTATGGCCTAAGCCCTTGCCTGAGAGGAGTCCCAGCAGTGGGACATATAAATTGGTTGAAGATGATTATTGTCCATAATTTGTAGAATATATTCTATGGTATGCTGTTGACCTTATTCCTTACAGCAAAGCAGCGCTCTTACGACCAAGCAGTAATCGAGTGGGCTATGGCCGAATCCAGATCAGGAGTTCATTCCACTCTCGTCGGGGCCCACGAAAGCCTGGTCTGGAACCGGATCCGCTTGAGCATTTGAAGATAGAATCTAGGCCATTACATGCAAAAGGATTGGTCAGACCTTTCTTGTTTTCTATAGGGGTATGATAAAATTATATTTAAAGTTGCGTCATTTGCTTTGAGACCATGGACATGGTCTATAGAATTAGAGTAGATTGCCATAAGATTATCGCTTTCATTTCGTATCACACACATACAATATCAATTTATTTTTTAATTTTGTGTGAGCAGTAGGTCCCTAAAACTGTTAACCCAGCATGAAATTAATATTAAAATATTTTTAACATCTATAATTCTTATTGCATTGTTAGCATACACTATAATATTGTTTGCCATCGTGGAGAAAGGATTTGTTCATCGGCGGCGTATAATTCACTCGCCGATTATTGCCCAGAGTGTGCCAGAGACACAGGAAAAGAAGGATTCATCCATAGATATAGAAAAAAAGGATTCATCATGCGGGGTGACTCTTTTCGCGCACCCCAAAAATATTTAAAATGAATAATACATAGTGCTCCAAATACATGATATTTATTCATTTAAATTAGAATGCCACCAATACGAATTCAAGTAGACGTGTGTTGATCGTGTTCGATCGAATCAAAATTAATCTAAAAGCACCTGTGACCTGATAATCCGTGTTGTACGCTCTGCCTGGAACTGACAATATAATTGCTGTCTTGTTTACTCCCACGTGAAGTCCCCAATCACGACACGGTTCGCCTTCTCATTCTTCATTTGGGTTGAACATTTGTTCAATAGAGCATTTGTTCGATAGAACCTTCTTTCGATCGAAACAAAACGTCAAGCAATCGATCAACGGGTCAACGGATTAACGAGTCTATCTATCATTCATCGTAATTGCTCCGTGGCGTGGAGTATCCAGTACTTGGTAATTTTGTAAAATTAATTTGATTTTCGGTATGTTGTGATTATTTATGAATGCGCTAGCTAATTTTACAGAATAATAAATTAGTAATTTTGAATGCTCATATGTTTTTTGTAGGAGTTACTTTTCCTAGAAAGAAATTTTAGTATCCTTCTTTTATACATATCAACAGGAAAGAACAAAAGCTAATTGTATTATTTGCCAGTTTTAAACGCCATATGGAAGCATCGTGTCGACGGGTGACCCGCTAAATGATCGAATCATTTGACCTCATCGCATTACGCATGGTTTTCGGAAATGATCGACCGACCCAGGTCTAATTTAAAGCTCGTGTGTGGCACTATAACTGCTATGCACAGGCGTGTCGCTTATTGCACGACTTGGTCTTTTCGTCAATTGCTATCATTAAAAAAACCTCAAAGATAGGGTTGTACGTCTAGGTAAACACCAAGCTGCTGGCAGAGAACTTGTCTATCCCAATTTAGTATCTCCAACAGTTGAAGACATAGCTTTGAAACCTCCTTCCATAGATGACATAGACATTCTACTTAGATTCATAATGCTCTTTGAAAAGCTATATAATACAAACGATGTACATAAATAAGACAAAATGTTCAACCACAGGTATCGTCAGTTAGCCTCGCAGGATGTGTGATCTGGGAATACGAAAGCTTGCGAATGCACGCTGCCAACCTATTCAAAAGACCAGGCTCTTGGCTCAGTGCACAACAGAAAAAAATATATGCACATTATGTAAGTAATGACAGTATGTATAATAAAATAGTTTTTATTGTTTTATGGTCCGTATATTTGCCGAATTATGCACTGTTTTGAGTCTATTATATGCGTAAATTATCACTAATTTTGTTACATATTAAAAACACATAAGAAATCAATGCACTAAAAATAAAACATGTCATTGGTAAACAAATTTTTGGTTGCTTTGCTTGAAACTAATCTGTATGAAACAAGACTAATTCGATGAGTTTTTGACCCTAAAATAAAAAAAAAGCCCTTATTGTATTTGAACAAGTTAGTAGATGCACTGTGACGACTGTCAAAAGAATTTAGAAATGTATTACTAGTGATTGGGAACTGAGTAATGAAGCAAGTGGTAACCATTATTGCAGAAATCAGAACCTGGTCCAGTGAGGAAATGGTGGAACTCCTTAAAGGATAGTGAGAAGGTGTTCTACCCTATTCTAGCTGCCAATGTGCTAGTCTTCTGTGCTTGGCGAGTGAGAGCTTTTCAGCCCTTCATGGTCAAGTATTTCTGCTCAAATCCTTCTGGCAGTTAGTATTCTTTACTATTTTAAGCTCTCATAGATTTGCTCACTGACCTCCGGCTAGTCGCCAAAATTACGCAATGGCAAGTTTAAAAGCTTAAAGTTAACTCTGCAGGTCTGTTCTTACCACTGAACTTGCATTTGTCACTTACCTAAACATTTTCATTTTGTTCTTGTTCATGGCTATGCCGGCTCTCCCCGACATCGGCTCCATCCATATCAAATGCATCCGTAATTATAGGTACCTACTTATTTTACTACAGCAAATTAGGGAAAGGAGACTCATCAAATCGAAACTGACAAAGCTGTCACGGACCCTAACAGGGTCGTTTTAAAGTTTCTGTGACCCCATATTTGTGTATGTATTGAAATATCATTAATTATACTCACAATGAGTCCTGTACCCCATCTACGGTGGGGTCTGGGGATGTCCTTATGCTACAGGATGCGCCATACCCAGAGCTCGACCAGCCGGCAGTAACGAATGGTATTTTCAATAAATAGAAGAAATGTCGAATTTAGCAATTGAAATATCATATTATTTAGCGTCTGTAAAAATTTTAAATAACTTTTATAACTATCATTATATCAATACGATTCATGTAGTTATTATACAAAATCATAATTATTAGCGAAGAATTGGTTAACAGTTTATAAAAGAGGAGAGAGACATGGAATATAATTTTGCGCTGCGACGAAGTTTGATTATTATGTACCTAACTGAACTACTATAGGGGTATTTTACTATATATATCGCGTAAACAATCGTATTTCGTACCCCAAATTATGATTAAAGAAATGCAGATTTTTTTTTATCAGATTACAAAATTTTTTTGCTCCTATAAAACGATTGTATTTATGGCAGCCATATTGAAAAATGGCGAAAAAATAAATTTTTACTACAAATTATTATTAAACACCCCTAAAGGCTCCCCGTGATTTTCAGTTGGAAAACCAAAAAGAGCAAATTTTTATTTGCCGCCAAAAAACGCTTGTATGGCGGCCATATTTGAAAATGACGAGAAATCAATTTTGACTACAAATGAAATGTTATAATGAAACTTACAATGAATTTTCATAAATCCTTGTATTGAAATAATCTGCATTTAATTGTTTTTTCAGGTGCAGTATGTTTACCAATGATACTGTCAGCGTTCAGTCATTATTCAGCATTACATTTGGCTGCAAATATGTATGTTTTATACAGTTTCATGCCAGGTATGGAAACTGTTCAATGAACTGTAATACTATATTGTACTGTATACATAGCCATTGCTAAATCATTATCAGTGCAACATTTTTGCTTAATCTCACACACACAATGGCGTTGGGCAAACTTAGTGTATACAGGGTGTAATCGTTAAGTGTTCCCAGGCGATAATTCCGTAAATATAAGAGATATCAAAAACCTTAACTAATATCGAAAGTAACTTACCTAGTAACTAAAACAACGTCAGTAACTTTTAAAAAGTAAAACTAGAAATATTCAAAGTTAACATACGACTCTCCCATACATTTAATATGACATTCATACAAAGGCTTTAGTTTCCCTACTTTAAGAGGTAATATTAAGTTTACAGATAACGAAACTGCTATGTGCTGCTGCTAGCTGTCAATTGACGATTCTGAACTAAATTAATCTTCTACTTATAGTTTTGTTATTGAGAACTAATACACTAAATCAAACTAATGTTAATTTGCGTTTACCCAAATTAGCGCTAAATGTATTAGTCTAACATATAAATAAAATATTTTAACATCATCTTTCAATGATTTTTAATTACAATTTTTGAAAACATTTTATGCAACAGCCGCAGTGGCATCAATGGGCAAAGAGCAGTTCGTGGCCATGTACCTGTGTGCTGGTGTGTTAAGCAGTTTTGCCAGCTTCCTGTACAAGGTCTCCTTTAACCAACCAGGGCTGAGTCTTGGTGCCGTGAGTACCCATTAGTTGCTGAGTATCTACTATCTTAATTATTTAACACTTTAACTGCCTCCGTGGCCGAACGGTTACCATACCGGACTGCCACGCAGAGGTCCCCGGGTTCGATTCCCGGGCCGGGAGAAATATTTGTATGGCCTACATTTATTTCTCTCGTGAGTTTGGGTGTAATTTGTGGTTGTCTATGTGTGTGTCCATGGCACCCGCGACACAGGGTTTCCCTAGTGCGGGGCTATGTTGAGTGTGTGCGTTATTATTATTATTATTATTATTAAATATTTATTTATTTAATACTATTACTCCTCTTTACCTACCTCTTTGTCTTATGGTGTGAAGCTGCAAATTACAAAGAAAATAGTATCTTGTGTGTGTGTGTGTGTGTGTGTGTGTGTGTGTGTGTGTGTGTGTGT